AACAGTGGCTCATGGCTTAGGACGGATCTTTTAAAATTGTCTCCTGTGTCTAATTATAATTTTTCTTTTTTAAAGTTATCCCTGGTTGGACCGTGGCCAGTGCTGTGTGTTTTATGTAATAATAAGAGTCCCTTTGCCACGAGCCGCTGTCAGTACTGAGATTGCATTTTGGTTAAATAGGGGTATGAATACAAGCTGGTAAAATATTATCTGACTGATCTTAATTAATCTCTATTATTTCAGGCTTGTCACTGCAAGTTAATTGGATGCGGCTCAGCAATACCCAGTCTTAAGATTTCAAATGACGATCTCGTAAAAGTAGTAGATACTAACGATGAATGGATAGCTGTTCGCACTAGGATTCAAAATCGACGTGTTCTTTCAGGTCAGTTCATACTTTTCTGTGCATGATAATGTCATAATTTGGTAAACAATTTGACGTGGCTTAGCCTGTGTTGAGCCTCATGTTTTAAATCACATGCAATGAGTTTAACTTGGGAAATTCAGTTTCATAGTCTCATGCACTGCATTACAAGAGGAAACTATCTGTTGGACCTCTCAGGTATATGACCCTTTTTCTCTGCCCCTATTGAACAATATCTGTTACAGTCACTGTGGCTTCACCATTCTATTCAGACAACCAAAACGATAAGCATATGGCGTGGTTTGACCTCATTGATGTTGGTAGTGTAAGATGTGTAAGAGCCTAAGGGGGGCTTTCTTATAGTTGTACTGGATATTTGAATGCTTCTACCTTTTATTTGAACACTTATTTTATACAACTATCTGTCTCTTCCCTGGTCCTCATTTCTAGGTGTACTGGATATTTTATGTTATCATTTCTAAAATGACAGGATATTTGAATGACTTCCTTGTAAAATTACAGGCAAAGAGAGCCTGACAACGTTAGCAGTTGAGGCAGCGCATAAAGCACTTGAGATGGCACAGGTTGATGTTGATGATGTGGACCTAATCTTGATGTGCACATCTACGCCTGATGATGTCTTTGGCTGTGCTCCTCAGGTATATAGGTCACTAGGTGGTATCTGGATTAAGTTGTCCAGATTTAAAAAAAGAAATAGGGATTGAGCTTCACAGTGGTGTGCAATATATGATTGTTATGCCAATATTTGATTCTTCATGTTTTTAGGGGTTTATAAATCTTTAAGTGATGAACAAAATTTCATCTATCTAGGTGTGTATTTATTTGTTATGAATAATGAAAAGACCATTTCTTATTAGAAAAATAAAAAGGAACAGATCATTGCTAGCTTCCTTAATTTATAAAGGGGTTCTATTTCGGACAAAAGTAGATTCTTGCCTCCTTGGGGGCATCTATGTCTTAAGAACTATAGAAGAGTTCCCATTATCGTGATTCATCTTGACCGGACTGGAGTTTTGTACTAAATATGGCATGTTTTTTTTGTTTTGTTCGGTATTTGGTCAGACTACTGCTGGCCAACTTTTGAAAACTGTGGCTTTTTCAGGTCTCGTCTTTATATTTCTAGTAGGTTATTTTGTTGATTAAGTTTGTTGTGCTTATATAGTTTTATGCTTTTTCCATGGCACGAACTTTGACCAAAATACTGAACTATATCGATCACCCGTAATATAATCAAAGAACAACTGAGTATTACTCTCTCAGTGCTTATGCTGTTTTATTAATACAGTAAATGCTTACCTTTTGAATTTGTGTTATATTGTAATTTCAGGTTCAGAAAGCACTTGGCTGCCGAAGGAACCCTTTAGCTTATGATATTACAGCTGCTTGTAGCAGATTTATTTTGGGTCTCGTATCAGCTTCTTGTCACATTAAAGGTGACGACTTGGTTAACTTTACTCTTAAGTACGCCACTGTTATTTTCCATATTTAATTGATTTAACTATATTGCGCAAACTACAGCTGGTGGAATTAAAAATGTTCGAGTTATTGGGGCTGATGCTATTTCTCGGATTGTCGACTGGACCAATAGAGGAACATGTATTCTCTTCGGGGATTCTGTATTAGTTCAGGTGCGTTTATGTTGCTTAATGAATATTTTTGGCATATATCTAAGCTCTAGTTTTCTATATAAGGGCATTGAAGTCCCTCTCAGCTTCTAACTTTGGACTTTGCTTTATTTGGCAGCAATTTTTGTCCCCATTTTTTTTAGAAACTCATATAATACTATCTTAATCTCGTCATTTCCAGAATTGATCAAATGAATTATGAGTAAAGATTTCTTTCTAAACATTTCAGTCCACAGCTTAAATTTCCATAATTGTGTGGGCCTGCGACAGTGAGGATGATGCTTTGCTTTCTTTTGATGTGCATAGTGATGGTGAAGGAAACAGGTTTGTGATTTCTCGATTTCTATGTTTGTTTTATGCACCTTTTTAGCAAGTACAGCATTTTTCTGATACTGACCGATCACTCTCTTTGCAGACATCTCACTGTTACCTTCGAAGGAAATGAAACAGATGATGAGTTGGGTTCTAATGGCTCAGTCCTAGGCTTCCCTCCAAGACCCTCTTCATATTCCTGCCTTCAAATGAATGGTAAAGAGGTCTTTCGCTTTGCAGTGTGTGCTGTGCCAGAGTCACTTGAGTCTTCTCTTGCAAAAGCCGGTCTCCCTCTATCTAGCATTGATTGATTACTGCTCCATCAGGTATGACGAATGATATCTTTCAGAAAGTTTACCCCGGGTTTACTGATTAAAATGATTGCTCTGCTCTACTGTCATTCTTTGTAGTGGGAAGTTTGAATGAAAATAACCCTTTACGGTAGCTTCTTATTTTGATAATGGTGATCCTAGCAAACAAGCGACGGGGGTACTTCTTGTTTTGATAATGGTGATGGGTTATAGCAAAAACAAATCAATAACGCAGGCAAACCAGAGGATCCTCCATGCGGTTTCTACTCGCATGCAAATCCCTTCAGAGCAGGTGATTTCGAACTTGGCAAACTACAGAAACACGAGCGCTGCTTCAATACCTTTGGCGTTGGACGAAGCTGTGAGAAGTGGGAAGGTGAAACCAGGCCATACTATCGCAGCTGCCAGCTTCGGAGCAGGTCTTACTTGGGCTTCTACCATTTTCAGATGGGGTTGAACTTGAAACCTCATCGCCTCCGGCCACTGAAACGCAGTTTTGCAATACTTGCCCCAAATTCCAATGTATTAGATATTGTTGCATCATAATCTCCATCGGCTCCCTTTTTGTTTGTTTGCCTCTGCTTTTTTCTTCCCTTAGTTTTTGGCACCCTCAGAAAAATTGTTTTCTTTTCTCCCGCCCAATAACTTTTTTTTCTTTTTCTTGAGCCACAAGTCAATGCTAAAAAAAATTCTAATACTCTGAATCTCATGTTTGAAGTGATATTTTTTCTAAATTTTTGTTTTTTACAAGTGATAAGATAATTACATGACATAAATCTAAACCACGAAAATAAAAATCTGAACTTGGGTAAAGACGGCGGAGCACATTGAGAAATAGCTAAATACAAGTTCAACGTAATTAATAATTACAGTAACTCAAATGCCAAGAAAAGAAAAATTAAAGTAGGTCATTGAGCAAAAGCTTGACCTCTAGGTTGAACTTGAACCCTAGATTTAATCTTCTTCAAAGCACCCTCAATTGCAAGATCAAAAGCATCTTTCTTGGCTCTCAATCCCTTTGAGCTTCCATGCCTTCTATACATAACTCTTGGTATCATCTCCAACACTCTCTCCCTCATCCTCCTCACTCTAGCCCTAGGAATGCTCCTAAGCACATCCAAAACCCTAGTCTCCTTGTACACCACATCCTCCTTGGGTATAAACACCGAGAAATCCCCGTACTGATCCTCCGGCAAGTGCCACCCGTACTGCACTTTGGCGGACAACGACTCGAAGAATACGGGGATGCAGCCGGCCACAATGCTGTCGAATGTGGACCGCCTGGTCGGGGTGTCGCCCGGCGGTTGCATGCAAAAACTAGCTTGCAACATTGGCCTCATGAACCTAATTGGGTCATGCTCACATATACCATTGGAGCAATCCACGAAGTCACAAAGCCTTGTGTACTCAGCAAACCCACTTCCAAACATCCCCAAATTGTTGTTGTTTGACGTCACATTGTTTTCTATGGTGTTGTTTTCACACTCGTTCCTAATACTCTTCCTAATGTTCGGATTATTTCCGACACCGCCACCGCCGGCGAACATCATAAGCGTTGTCCGCCGGGACCGCCTCGCCCGCTGCACCCACGCCTCTAATAAAGACAAATTGGGCGGGTGAAATGACGACGGATAAGGCACAGCGTGCTCCTGCCACGGCCAGGCACGCGCCTCCAACGTCAGAGCGGTGACATTAAAGAACTGCGGCAATTCGAGCAGCGAAGTTCCCCACACCCGCGGATCGTTCCCCAGCGGCTGAGAGAAATCCAGAGCGGGTCGGGCCAAAACCAAGAAATGGTCGTGACCCATATTCCGATTCCACAAATCCGGGTCGTCCCGGGTCAAAAATTCGAACAAATTGAGGCCCTGCTCGGAGCTGGAATTGTAATCGGGGCCGTAGAGGTAGCGGAGGGCGTCGATGCCGGCATAGTAAGGGAGGTAGACGGCGTCGGCGGATTGGGGATCTGAGGTGAGACATGGGTATTCGAGCATCCGACGGTGGAAAATAAGCTCGAGCATCAAGGGGTCGGTTCGGTACCAGCTGTGAGAAAGATTATGGGTTTTCTGGCCGAGGCCATGGTTGGCCAAGTAAGGGCAGAAGTCGTCGAACAGACCGTAGCCGGAGCAGTTGGAGAGGAGATCGAGGTTGAAAGCCGGCGGGAGGCGTCGGATGTGGACCAACGGCCAGTGCAGTCGGAGTCGGATTGACTTGGGTCGAGATTGTTTCTGGGTACTTGGGCGGAGCTTAATCGAATGGTGGTGGTGGTGGTGGAGGAGAAGAAGAAGAGGAGGAAGGAGGTGGTGATTAGTAAAGTGGACTTGGAGGAGGCCATTGGAGGAGCGAGAGATGTGGGGAGGAGAGAGACAAATGGGGTTATTTATGGGGATATTTTTACAGTTAAATTCTTTAAACTTTTGAAATGGTTTAAGGGGTTTTGGGTATTTTTCTGTTTTGTTAATGGTAATTTTGTTTGTTTTATCTTTTCCTGTTTATCTTTCCAGTTTGGGAGGAAGATTAGTTTTGTCTGTTAAAACTGTATTTTTTTAATTGTTTTATTTATTTTTTTGGGTTGGAAAATGGAAATCCAACAAGAAAACAAAAATGTTGTTGTGTGGAGAGAAAAAATGACGAGGTTGTTTTTTTAAATTGTATGAGTGCATGGGACGTGGGGTTTGACGCGTTTTTGTAGGTGGGGTTTGTTGGTGTTGGTTGGGATGGCGGTGGTGGTGGCGATGGTGATGGTGGGGTGAAGCTTCGAGCTAATACAACTAGGGGTGATATTGGTACGATTACCGTATCAATACTCATTTATCAATTACCATACCAAATTTTTGGTATAATAAAATCTATTACCATTACCGTGCCAAACTTTTGGTATACCGAATTTCGGCATGCCAAATAGTTTGGTTGACATGGTATGGTAATGGTAATTACCACTTTGTTTTGGGCTAAAATTTGGTTTTTTTCCAACCCAATTTAAGACTCAAACGTGTTTTGGCCACTCTCTTGGGGTTTTTAAAACTTTTTTAATTAATTATGAGAATTTTATAGAGATTCATTTAAGAAAAAGAAGTAAATAGATGGAAGATTGTTGAAAGAACTCATCATTCCTAAAAAAAATAGTACAAAGATTCCTAGATTTCATCTCTACATTCTTTAAAATTATACAAAAATTAACTAAATATACGAAGTCAGGGAGAAAGACAACCCAATTTGATAAAGGAGAAGATGAGATGGATTGCGAAGAGAGAGAATTGCCGAAATGGAAGCAACAGAGATGAAGTCCATGGCAAGATGAGTGAAAATATGAAGTGATAACAGAGAAGGCTTAGGTATTTTTATTGGGAAAGTAGAGGTTAGAGGGTGAGAGGATGGTTTTGGATAAATTACTAGGAAAAAATTATAGAAGTGCATATATAATGATAATAATACATAATTACATGTATAAATGAATAAATAAATGATTTAATATTAATAGGAGTGGTACAGTACGGTATACCACTGGTAATAATTTTGAATACCATTATCGTATCGAAAATATATGGTATAGTATAAATACCATACCATTACCAATAGTTCAAATTTTTTAGCATAACTTTAGTATGGCACAGTTTGTATGATAATTTAGCAAAACATTTCACCCCCTAAATACAACAAAGTTTTGTGGCACCGGTGGAATTTTTAATTTTTTTCGACGCATTGTCACATGTTAACGGTTAACCAAACAAAAATTTTAATTTATTTAGGGTTTTTTATTAGCACTTTATATGTATTCAATATACTCCACATTAAAATTTAGGAGATTTTACACAAGTACCATCCGAAGTTAATGACGAAAATGTAACAACCCGTCCAAGTGGGGCTCACACCACTCCTCCCCTCACTCTCGTGTCCCCCTCTTTTCTGGATCTCTCTCTCTCTCTCTCTCTCTCTCTCTCTCTCTCTCTCTCATTCTCAAACTATATCTCTCACTAAAACTCTTCTTCTATGCAAACCGAAGCCATCACCACACCTTCGCCATTCCGGCTAACTTCATACCACCACCTCATCTTTCTTTGTCACTTGCCTCCACCTCAATTCTCTCTATCACTCGTCCTGCACCTAGCTCCCTCGACCTGTCATGTTTTCACCCCTGCAAACATAGTACGGCCGAGAGGCCTGGAATCACATCACCGCCGTCGTGGTGATCCACGAATAACCAACACCAGATCACCTATCTCAATTCTTCTCCTCTTCATATTTTCAAACCCAAAAAACACTGGCGTTGAACTCAAACCCAGACGGCGGGAGTTGCTGTTCCTCTACGAATCCGACGAGGCTGCCACCACCCTTAACGTTGGTAAACTTTGAAATCCCTCAAATTCTTATTTTAATCATGATCTAGGGCTGTTTATAACTTATATGCTCGATTTGGAGGAAGATTGGTGCAGAAAAACGTGTTGGGAAGAATTTCCCCAGTTTTTTTAGGCCCTTTTATCAGCTGTCTCCGACCATGTTTTAACCCCTTGATGGCATGATCATACTCTCCTCATTACAAACTTCAAATCCATATGTAGAACTCTGAAAATGGTGAAGTATCGAGCTAGAAATTAGCTTTGAAAGTCGGCCCATAAATCTGTCCAAGCCTTGTCTTCGCAAGGAAGACGAGAACTGTTGTACGTGCAGGCACATGAGGCCGGTGCGTGCCTGCCAATGCAACCACCTTGTGGCAAAGTGTGCGGCGGATTAGATTAATGGGGATAAAGTATTTTCTACGTTATGCTTGTATTAGATTAATATTTATAAGAATTAGCCGAATGATGAAAATTATGAAATTATGCTAAATTCTACGGAATGCACATGTATGCGAATTATTATGGGATTTATTTACGGTCATGATTGATATTTTATTGAATAATATTATGTCGATTAGAATTACCGATTTACAATTGTATGATCATATTTACGTTATCTGCTCATCATGTGGTGTTAGTACTCGCTCGGGCCAGGGACAGTCTTCACATGTATGTTTACATCGCACCGTACACTCACTTTGGATCCATTGTAGATGTTAGTCTTGTTCTACATTGCTATAGGCAATTAGGACTCGTATGTGATGCCCATAGCACCAGTCTTCAAGTGATTGTAGTATTAGAGCATAAATCATTTTTTTACACCCAGTATTGTTCATGTCAGAATATCTCTGCATGAACTCGTGTATCAAGATATGTCGATGAGCACTCAATATGATATGTTTGTTTAGGTGAGATATTGTGATTACTAGATGTTAGGTGTTTATTTACGAAATACTTTGAAATATTGCATTCTTGAGATATTACTGTTTACGGTAAGTATTTCACACTATATGTAGTATACATAGATAGAGACTATACCTCTTTTACGGCGAAGGTTATATGTTTTCGAAAAGGTTTTTACAAAGCTTTATTTTTAGGCCCACTCACCCTTGTTTTTCGCCTGTCTAGGATTTAGTGGCAGTGTTCATGTCGACGAGGGTTTCAAGAAAACGCTGATATCGTAGGCTACTCCTGATGGTATAATTTTTATTCTAATTTTACTGTACATTACTTGTGCTCTGACATCACGTGTGAAATGAGTTCATTCCCGCTCACAATCGCACTTTTATATTTAGGCACTTTTAGGGTTAAATTTATTCACAGTTTCCACTTCTCTACATTTTATGGCTTTGTCACCTTTCTGGTGTCGGCCAGCAAAGCTCGATTTAGAGTCCAAGTGGACATCCCAGGTGGGGGTGAGTTTGGTATCAGAGCATAAGTTTTGGGTAGTATTGCGTTCATCACACGCGTGATGTAAGCATTTTTTGTTCTTAAGCCTAATTTTCGAATCTTGCCACCTCGTCGAGCATGAAAAATGTATTAGGTTTTTTAGTTATGGGTTACTTAGACGACTTATCGACCTTCTAGAAGAACATTTTGGCAACTGCCCCTAGACTTAGACAAAGAACCTCCCTGCCAAGGAAAATCCCAATTCTGAATGAATTGTTGACCCTAAAGTCGGGCTAATGTATCAATAATTGTGCATCACTAGAGAATTTCCAATCAATCCCCATCACTATTCTCCAGCCATCATTACCAAACCTTTCAAGATAGGAAACCACAATTAGTTTTGATTCTTTGGTAGTATCCGTTAGTATACCACCTATTAGAATTCCTACAAAGTTTTACTTATCATCGAAATCTCTGGAAATGTCTTGAATGACAATGTGGTGCTAAAGTGGAACCATTCAACCGAAGAACATCTAGGGGACAATCACCTTTGGTCCCCTACAATACTAATTTTTCAAAACGTGGTGATAGTTCCGGATCTTCAGGAGGAAGATTGATTTCCATTTAAGTCCATTCTAATGTAGTTTATTAGCAAATTCCTTTTTGGGCCTTAAGACATTTCAACCAACACTAGTTCCTAGAATTCTTTTCGAGGATGTACTCGTCATTTCGATGAGTATAGGCATGAGAGTATGAGTTGTTATACCATCAGGTAGCAGAAATTCCAGAGCATCAATCAATTTCCCCTAGAACCAACGAAACCAACTCTTAGGATCAATTCCTTACCAATCATCTGAAACAATCCACCTGACCGGGCTCTAACTTGTAACCATCATATGGTGGCGCTACTCATTAACGATACTGTCCGATATCTAGATGCCGTCAACCAGTATTCAAGTGATATAATTTCTGATACCAGACACATGCTAGTATCTGGGAGTGTTACCTTTGTGCCAGAACGTCGGTTCACAATTTCAGGGTAGCGAACAATACCAAAATATTATAAATGCGTTAATTAACGGCACGACTGTTAGAATGATTAACAATGACAACCTGGGCCGAAGAAATTATGATCTTGGAAACTTACGAGCAAGCCTTGTATCTAGGTAACCAGAACATTCTCGACCGAATTGACACTTATGTCCAAGGGATTCAGATCAAAGTGAGAGAATAAGAGGGCTGTTGGGTTTTCCACAAAGAGCATACATAAAAAGGTTTAATATGTCTTCATGTGAGACTACAGAAATGCCCATATCAAAGGGTGATATATTGATCGAACTGTAGTGTCCCAAAACAGACTTGGAGAGGAAGATGATGGAAGATAAGCAATATGCATCCTGGGTTGGGAGTTTGATGCATGCACAAGTGTGCACAAGGCCTGATTTAGCCTTCACCATTTCGGTGCTTGGTAGGTTCCAATCCAGTGCTGGAGAGGCTTACTAGAATGCAGCAAAGAGTGTAGAGATATCTTTAGAGAACTAAAAGATCATACGTTAGTCTACAGAATGACATAGGACCAAAGATCATATGTTAGTCTACATAAGGACATAAAACATCGTTTTAGAAGGTTATAATGACTTAGATTTTGCGGGTTGTCCAGATGATATGAAATCAACATGGGGTTGTGTGATCTTAATGGCATGTGGAGCAGTATCTTGGAAGAGTGTAAAATAACAGACTGTGGTTGCTTCAAACTATGTTTGCAGAATACTTGTCCTATTGTGAAACTGTGAATCTAGCCATTTGGTTGAAGAATTTCATAACAGTACTACAAGAGGTAGACTCAATCTTGAGACCTATACAGATTTATTTGACGACAGAGTAGCTATATTTTTCACTTAGAATAATAAAAGGTAAAATGCAACAAGGAACTTGGATATGAAGTATCTCATTTCTCGAGAAAAGGTGGTAGCTAGTTTGGTCAAGATTGAGTAATTGGAGACTAATTCAATGATTGTTCATCCATTGAATAAGGCTGTTATCATAGCGGTTTTCAAGAAGCATGTCAGCAAAGCATAGGGGTAATGGGTGATTTTGATGCAGCAAACTCATGCAGGAAACCAGTGGGAGCAAACTGATGCAGGAAATCAGTGGGAGCTGCATATCAGGTTCATTTTAAATGTTAGTTTTCTTCAGTTGCAGTTCATGTTCTGGAAGTTGTATTCGAGTATTAATAATAAAGGCTTCTTAGCTAATAAAGAAAAATGTTGTAAGGTTGTTAAAGTTCCCAAAAAGTATACAGCATATAGTTATGATAATGCATGAATGTTTTTATGCATGATGATTAATGATCTTGAATTATCATGAAGGAAAAAACAACCTAAGGGCTTCGTTCAGAAGCATTGGGATTGCTTTCAATCCTGAAGGGGACCAAATGTTTGACATATTACAAATACATATCCAGTCATGTCTTACATTGTTTTATATCTTGTTGGAGTCTCATGTGTTGGTTAGTTTCATTGTAAGTAATTATGGGGACGGTACTCTTTGAAAGTTGAGTGTGTTGCCCTATAGTTCTCATGAATACTTGTTAATGACAGAGACTGGTAAATCGAGAAAATGTCAAAGACTAATCTCATGGCCAATTCAGATTCATTCCATATTAAGTATAAACTATACAAGTTGACAAAGTATTTGCTCTAGTGGGAGAATGTAAGTTCTATATGAGAGCAAACACTTTGTGATTTGATTAAAGACATTTGGAATGATAAGGAGATTAGGATTGACACTTGTGGTAGACTTATCAGGAATTGTATTTCTTTGGAGATTCAAGTCAGATACATTCTCGGTAAGACTAGAACTCTTCTAGCTGATATAATGCATAAGTGTTTCACGGTGATAAGGCTACTCTTTGATAAGGATCACTTAATGGGAGGGATCCTGATTGAATTCCATCGTATGAAGTATAAAACTGAGGTCCCTGCTCTCTCACAGAACACGCAAGTTTACAGAAAACTCAAGCCCCATTGAGCGAGCCTTGCTTTCGATTGTGTAGAGTTGCAGAAGAACTTCAGTTATTAATCCTAGTTCTCTGAGACGATGTCTTCTACAGTCTAAGAGAGCTTTCTGTTTTTGCAAGTAGGTAATGCCTTAGGTACTTCTTGATAAATGCGCAGTAGCCTCCTTAATGATGTTTCTCAGAGGGAGGTTAACAAGATCAAATTACGTCGTTACATGGTTTGCGAATCGCATGCTAATTAAACCACAAAATCACCAAAAAAATGGAGAGAGTGGCCGGCCATTCGTTGAAGAAAATGGAGAAGCCTAATCCTATAAATAGGCTCCTATTTTCACCAAAAATTCATTCCAATTCTCTTACAAAAAATCCCAAATATTCTAAACACTATTTCTCTCTAAAATTCTAACTTTGGCATCGAAGGTTCTTCGGCCAAAGCCCCCCATTCATCGTGGGCGCGTGAGGCTCTTGGCCTTAACCTAATGTGCTAGTTGTTTTGTAGGTGCAAAATCGTCCAAGATCGAAGAGGAGAAAATTTGCATCCACAATTGTGACATAAACAATTTGAGCATGAATGTTCAAGTGGTCAATACATTTTTATTTTTTGTTCGAGGTCTTAAGTTCGATGTTGCATTATTACCATGTTTGTATAACTGAATAAAAAAGCCATTTAGGCATTTACAAAATAAGAGAGAAAGAGAGAGGTAAAGGCGTGGACACAAAGAACAGATGAAATAAAAAAATTAGAAGACGTTGACCTGTTGGCCACTTTTCAATCATTGAGCTCAGTCTCCATATCAACATTGAGTGGAAACAAAGAAAAGATGAAATGTACAAAAACTCGACGACCTGGACCTTTCACGTTGGGCCTACTACTCTTCAATCATCCAGCATTGAGTGATTGCTACGAGATCAACATTTTCTGCTCTGGCCGCTATGTAAATTCATTATTCCAGCATTGAGTGATTGCTACAAGATCAACATTTTCTGCTCTGGCCGCTGTGTAAATTCTTTATTCTCGACGATATATGTTAATGAAGTTGCCAATCTGTTGGTAGCAGTAACCTCTCCTTAATGATGTTTCTCTTAGGGAGGTTAACAATATCAAATTACGTGGTTGCGTGGTTTGCGAATCGCATGCTGTTTTTCCATCTTCGTTTCTTATGCAGTAGCGGTCTTGTTGTGCTCATCTCACCCATTTTGCTGTGCTAGAGATACAGTAACATATGACACTCCAATTACCGACGGTGTTGAATCAGAAACTCTTGTTTCGTCTGGTGGAAGATTTGAACTCGGATTCTTTAGCCCTTCACCTGAAGGGACTCAAAGATATGTTGGCATATGGTATCACCAACTGAGTCCGAGGACAGTGGTATGGGTTGCCAACAGAGAAAAGGCAGTTGACAATTCCACTAGTAATGGAAGTCTTGCACTCCAAGATGGTAACCTCCATGTGTTGGATGCTGCTGGAAAGAGGTACTGGTCAACGGAGGTTGAAACATCCGAGTCTTTGACGCAGACTGTGACGCTCATGGATTCCGGGAACCTTGTTCTAAGCAGTGGCCATGATAAGTTGGCAGTGAATATTCTGTGGCAGAGCTTTCAAAGTCCAACCGATACATTCATTCCTGGGATGGTAATGGATAAAAGCTTGGTGTTGACTTCATGGAGAGGCGAAGATGACCCGGAAAGCGGGCGATTCATCTTCAAAAAAGATCCAGTTCGAGAGGACCAGTAAGTCATCACAAAATCAAAATCAGATTTAGAATCGATTCTGTACTGGAAAGGCGGAGAACGGGCAACCGATACATTTTACAGCTTTGATCAAATGCTTCCTGCAGTTACTTACTCATTATCAAATTTCAGCAAGAAATATGTTGTTGGAAATTCCAGCAAGGTTTTCAGTTCTCCGAGTCAAAACTCTTCTTATAAAAACCCAGGAATTCCTCCACGATCAGAATACAATTATACAAGGTTGGTGATTAATATTACTGGAGAGATACAGTTTTGGACGTGGATTAATTCCACAAAGCGGTGGAATTTGAATTGGTCGGCGCCAAGAGATGAATGTAGTGTGTTTAATGCTTGCGGCTACTTTGGCAGCTGCAATAGTAATAATAGGCCGCTGCTGTGCAAATGTTTGCCAGGTTTCAAGCCCCAGTATCTACAGCAGTGGAATTCTGGAGACTTTTCAGGTGGATGCAAAAGAGACTCTGCATTATGTGGCAACAACAAGATTGATACCTTCTTGAGCTTGAAGAAGATGAAAGTGGGAAACCCAGATTCAAAAATCAACGTTGAAAAAGAAGAAGAAGAATGCAGGAACGGGTGCTTAAATAGCTGCCAGTGCAAGGCCTATTCATATGCTATATCTGGAGAGTATAGTAATCGAAGGGATGCTTCATTGTGCAAAATATGGAACGAGGGAGATCTAAATAATCTTGAAGAAGAGTATACTGATGGGGGCCAGGACCTCTCTGTTCGTGTTGCGTTGTCTGATTTAGGTATTCTTCCTCTGAAGCTTCCCGAAACTAACAAATGAATGTGTGGATGGCATAAATATTTACCTTGTGAATTATGTGTTGTGTTTGGCTCATATACTTATGAGTTGGCAACAATTTTGATAGTGTAACTTTCTGCGTGCTACAGGGAAATGGTAGTAGCCACTTTGTGTTTGTCTTTCGGTTGTGGCATGGATGTCTTGTTCAAGAGAAGACATGGTGACTACCACAAGCAAAGTTGGAAGCAAGACTTGACTTTGTGGTTGCTTGCACACAATTGTGCATGTTTTATTGTGCATGCATTAAATGACAAATGGAGAAAAGTTGTACTTAATAGACTAGGTATAGACTTTGATGCATGCTAGGTAGGCTAAGTGATAATTATGTCATGTGAACTTAAGACTTTTTGGTCTTATTTGTTGGCATAGTTGCTAGTGTATGCCTATAATTAGATGCAATATTTGTGCATTTAGAAATGCATTGACAAAGCATCAAGAGGGAGAGCATTCGACTCTCTCCTGAGAAAGCATCCGAAGGAGAACACAAAGGAGAGAAAAATATAGAGTGAGAGTGAGAAACTCTTGGGGAGAGTGAGGTTCTTGTGAAAATTCTATGAGTGGGTGTACAAGGGATTTGGGATTGGGCTATGTCGCTTTAACTCATGTGTACTTGTACTGTTATTCTCATAGTGAAGAGCAATATCTCTCCGGGGACGTAGGCAGGTTTTTGCCGAACCTCGTAAATTTCTCGGTGTCTTTATTTCTTGTATTTTATTCTGTTCAACTGTGAGTGTGATTTGGTAAAGTTGTAATCTGAATCTCGTTTCCGCACTAATGAATGGGCCAAGGCACAACATTATGATCAAACCATTTTCCAGCCAAAATGCAGAACTGAGAGTGAGCTTCAGTTACATGAGTTTTATCTTTATGCTTTCTGCTGTTTCACGATATTCCTTACATGTATATATCGTTTCAATTAGCATGATTCTATTTATATTTGA